AAAACAAAAGCACATGAAATGAAAAGAAATGAAATTAGAAACAATTTAACCAAAACAGAAGTAAACCTTCTGCAGGCAGATTAAAATGCATAACCAAAACAGTAGTAAACCATCTGTAGGCAGATTTGCATGCATATTGGCAGATTGAAAACCTATACTGGACCCAAGCCAGAAGCTGTTTTGATGTGTTCTTTAGCAGAAGGTTCATCCTGAGGTTTCATGGCCGGAAAGAGTAGAACTTCCTGTCCCCAAACCAAAAAAAAACAAACAATTGACACTTGAGTAAAAAAGCTCAGTCGAAAAAACTTTTTATTGTAGAATGTGAAACTTCCCACGTCCAGCCAAACACACCCAACCCCAACCCCACCAAACCAACACTACCAATAAATTAAACAAATGAAAAATCACCAGCAAGGAAATCCAAAACCATAAACTGATAACACATGAACATTTCACACAAACCACACAAACGTAAAACACAAACCTTGATGTTCTGCGAATCTGTCATCATCATTGTTAGTCGGTCAATACCCAGTCCCCAACCACCAGTTGGGGGAAAACCATACTCGAGAGCTGTGCAAAATGTTTCATCCAAAGCCATTGCTTCATCATCACCTGATTGTCAGTCCTGAAATTTAATCATACAAAAATCTTCAGTCAAGGCACCCCACACAACATGACTTTACATGCCACAATGATTCAATTCCTAATGATCATAATACCTTGAGTTGGTCATCAAACCGTTGGCGTTGTACCACAGGATCATTCAACTCCGTGTATGCATTGCAAACCTACGTACAACAAGCAATTTGGAACGGTACGCATTTTCCTATAATTGGCAAGAAAAGAGCACAAAAAGTGCAGGCCAAAGCATAGCACCGAGACTCCAATCCGAACACACCACACCAAGCTTGGTAAAGGAGCACCCCACATCCTTACGTTATGTCTGGTTAGGAAATTTAAAAATAAATTTGCAAAGGGAAATGAAAAAATAAATGACATACGAATAAAATATACCTACATTTCAAACAACATTAGTCTCTTAGGAACATCAAATAATCTGTTAGTTTGTACTACACCGAAAATATGATACATTATTGAAACAATGATATGGGAAACGAGCCAAACATGAATAATAAATATGCATAAATGATTGGTAGTTTGAATTTGTATTTGTTGAAAAGTTTGAATTTTGTGTTTGTCGGTCAACTAATCAGATAATCGTTCGAACGATCAGTATAATATTTGTCTATCACAATTGTCACCCTTATCGACCGCGACTATCACCTTCATATCAGACAACCAACAAGCCAAAATTCAAGTGATTTCGAACAAATTCATATTCGAGCTACTAATCAGTGCTGTAATAAAAGGATTAATAATTAAAGTAATTACATAATTATAAATGTACGAATCTAAGAAAATAAAAATTGGTTCGCACATCATAACTTTTGCTTACACAGATACATACACTTGCACTTTTATTAAATACAATTAGTTTGAATTATTCACATTTATATGTGTTTTTCCTTATATGTATACCATGAACGAACAATTGAATAAAAAAATATTTTTATTTACATTGTTTTTCTTATTGTTTATAATATAGAATATTATAAGAAAATTTGGTGATAAATCTTCTTTTATGGGTGCATATGAAATTAGGTCTAATGATTGATTTGCTTTTGTCATAAAGACATAATTAATAAAATATGTTGATAAAAAATGTAAATCACTGTTTTAACATTTTTTTTTTTTTTCATTTATATTTTTGTACTTATTCTATCTATGCTTTCTCTTTCTACTTCACCACCCACAGTCACTAACAACTCACCAGAAAAAAGGCCAAGGATGGTAAGAAACAACAGCAGACAAGTGGACAAATAAACAAATAGGTGGACAATAAATATGAGTAATATGATTTTTTAAATTGTTATTATTCTTTTAAATAATATAAAATAAAGTTCAAAAGTTTTAAATTTGAATATATAACCTAAGGGAAAAGAGTGAGACCCCCAGTAGGAGTGACCCCCACCACCCCCACTGTATAATGATTGGTCCATTTTTTTTTTATTATTTTTTGTTTTTTAGTCTTCCTCTCACTGTCCCCACGTGTAAGTGGGGGTGCTGGGGTCCCCCCCTCCCCAATGGGGGTCTGGAGCACTGTTGATAACCTAAATATCTAATATTATATACGTATAAGAATTATTAGTATAATTAAGTTAAGCAACCGGCCATTTTCGGACTCGAACTCCCAAACTGTACACATTAAACTTTGGCTTACACAAAGGAAGAATTTTAAAAAAGTGAAAAGTCAAAAACATAATTTTTAAATGATGGAGGAATAAGATTTAGTTGCACAAGCTATTACATAAATCACTTGTACATCATTTTAAAATTACTTTTCTACTCTTCATTTTTTGATATTCCCCTAAACAAAATGAATGGGAAAGGTCTAAGTTCAATTCACATCTAATTCTTTTTACTACTTTTTGCTTACTATTATATCACTTGCTGCATCAGCAACATTCCAACCATGGCCGGCTTCGCCTGCTTTAGGCCCCCAACTACTTTACAGTCCTTATACACTTCATTCATATTATTAAAAAATACATTTTGTCTTAATTAATAAAAAAATAAATAAAACTTCTAAAAAACAAGAAAGGGCTTTTACAAAGCCCCATGGGGGAAACTAAAAGAAAAAATAATATTGACCAAAAACTAGTTGAGTTTGGACTAACCCTCTTACTTTGAATTGTTTAATTTTATCAAATGAGAATAAAGATTCCAATTTTTCCAAGAAATCCCAAATTTTTATTCTGTTTGATCTTTGGAGACCATAACACCACCCAAATAAATAAAATCCTCTTTGTCTAATGCCCCCAACAAAATAATAATTTACCACCAAAAAAAATATTCTTTTCCTAAAAGGCCCATAAGAAAAACTTTCATATCAAAGGCTAGAAAATAAAAACCCTCCCTGTATGGTAAGTGATAAAAAATAAAGATAACTTTGGACACTTCAATAAAACTGATAATTGTCACAAAAAGAAAACCGTTATATATCACTGGAAAATTTACAAGACTCTTCACCTGAAATGCAGTTTTAAATCCTACTACTTTGTAAAGGGTCTGGCTTTCCTTATGGACTCATAAGACCCACCACAGGTCCCATTTCAACAATTCAAATTGTTCATTTTGTAAAAAAAAAAATTATGTATATCATCCACATAGGTCAATCAAATAATTATAGCATGTTCAATTTATCACATTTGTATTTAAAAAAATAAATAAGTATATTTTTAAAAATAGACCACCCATCTTTCTGGTGACAAACACGATAAATTGAACATATTATGATTATCGAATCAAAATGATTTTTGTATAAACAATATACATAAAAAGGAAGCTCAAAATTTTTTCTTTTTTCTTTTTTTAATACAGTGAGTCGCATATATACTTCTTCTACAGCATGAATACAAAGAGATGAAATAAAATAATCAAACAAATCCAAGAATAAATAGCATCTCTCTTTGTGAAAAAATGTTAGTGCTGAATTCACAGTATTGATATTTCAAGACAATAAAAATTGGAATATAAACTTTGGCTATGAATTTTATGTCTCAAAGCCAAATATGTTGGACTAGGATATGGCTGTGTTGCTCCTGCTGCTGCTGAGTGTACTTTTTAACTCCCAGACATGTTGCGTTTGGTGCTTAGCATATAAAATCCAGCACCACTTGTTTTACTTATTTCTTATCTCTCCTTTTTTTCCCCACACAAATACTGAAAATCTGAACACACAACCTAACCGACTATAAAAATAAAAAAGTTAAACTAACCTCGTTTGGGAATATATTTTTTTAATAATTTTTCAATTTTTTGACTAAAATATTATGTAAAAAAAAATTAATATATTTAAAATGACTTTTTAATTTTTTACGAAAAGATGTGCGAAAAATTAAAAAAAAAATAATATTTTTAACTTTTTGATATAAGTTGTTGACTATTTTATTTTAAACTAAAAAGTGATGATGTCAAACCTAAATGCTAACTGCACCTAAAACTGGTTATCTTCATCGACACTATTTTTAACTTAAGACACTACATACATATACATTTTGAAAATCCAAGCTCTCCATAGTACAAAGCCACTTGAACCTCACAACTACCCATCAACTGCAACCCATCTCTCAGTTTTTCCCAGGGGAATATATACACAAACTATAACAAGCAATTTGGAACGGTACGCATTTTCCTATAATTGGCAAGAAAAGAGCACAAAAAGTGCAGGCCAAAGCATAGCACCGAGACTCCAATCCGAACACACCACACCAAGCTTGGTAAAGGAGCACCCCACATCCTTACGTTATGTTTGGTTAGGAAATTTAAAAATAAATTTGCAAAGGAAAATGAAAAAATAAATGACATACGAATAAAATATACCTACATTTCAAACAACATTAGTCTCTTAGGAACATCAAATAATCTGTTTGTTTTTTCTTTTTTCTTTTTACAAACCTTTTCACATTTTGAAGCCTCCTTGTTTCTAATCATTTTTTATACTTGTATTAATAGATTTTCATCTTTCCATGGCTACAGGAAAAGCCGGTAACAGTTGCAAAGTGTTGTAGTGATTAGCATTTCACATTAAAACCTCGCATAACTCAATTCAGTGACCACTTTATAAAGAAATTTACTAACCACCATCAGCAGTGAAAGTAACTGCATTGGCGAAGAATTAAAAGTGTACTCAGAATAATTGTATTGTATTGTATTGTATAGTAAACATAGTACGAGGACGAGCAAGGATCCTCTAAAGTGATTTTTCCCTAAAGTTTCCTAGAATGCTACATTATGTGGTTGAGATTTACTGGCAAGTCACATCAATTTTTCTGATGTGACTTGCCAATAAATTTCAACCACACAATGTAACACTCTAGAAAACTTTAGGGAAATTTCACTCTAGAGGATCCTTGGTGCACAATGAGAGCCCCCTAAACAATGGTTGTCAATATGTAAGTTTATAACCAAAATTTGGAAATGACTTTCATAGTATTCTGACAAAAAGCCAACAGCAGCCCTCAATCCAGATTTAACAAAAACATGACACGATTTTAATGTTTTCAATCCTATGTTTGTTTCTCACTGCCAAAACAAAAGTACATGAAATGAAAAGAAATGAAATTAGAAACAATTTAACCAAAACAGAAGTAAACCTTCTGCAGGCAGATTAAAATGCATAACCAAAACGGTAGTAAACCATCTGTAGGCAGATTTGCATGCATATTGGCAGATTGAAAACCTATACTGGACCCAAGCCAGAAGCTGTTTGGATGTGTTCTTTAGCAGAAGGTTCATCCTGAGGTTTCATGGCCGGAAAGAGTAGAACTTCCTGTCCCCAAACCAAAAAAAAACAAACAATTGACACATGAGTAAAAAAGCTCAGTCGAAAAAACTTTCTATTGTAGAATGTGAAACTTCCCACGTCCAGCCAAACACACCCAACCCCAACCCCACCAAACCAACACTACCAATAAATTAAACAAATGAAAAATCACCAGCAAGGAAATCCAAAACCACAAACTGATAACACATGAACATTTCACACAAACCACACAAAGGTAAAACACAAACCTTGATGTTCTGCGAATCTGTCATCATCATTGTTAGTCGGTCAATACCCAGTCCCCAACCACCAGTTGGGGGCAAACCATACTCAAGAGCCGTGCAAAATGTTTCATCCAAAGCCATTGCTTCATCATCACCTGATTGTCGGTCCTGAAATTTAATCATACAAAAATCTTCAGTCAAGGCACCCCACACAACATGACTTAACATACCACAATGATTCAATTCCTAATGATCATAATACCTTGAGTTGGTCAGCAAACCGTTGGCGTTGTACCACAGGATCATTCAACTCCGTGTATGCATTGCAAACCTACGTACAGAACATGATGGCATGCAAGGAAAAAATATAAATATAAGTATATATATACATAATCCTTAGAAAATCACTATTTTAAAAAAATAACAATAATAAAGGACTAAATAGAAATCCTTAGCTGGCATGACATACTTCACGCTTGTTGACAAATAATTCAAAACGTTCAGTCAAGCCTGGTTTTGACCTATGCCACTTTGCCAATGGACTCATAATCTCTGGATGGTTAATAATGAAAGTAGGGTTTACACATGTCTCCTCCAGAAAGTGCCCCACAAGCTGCATTCAGAAATCTAATCATTAATCATATGTACGTTATAACATAAAAATTTTGGTCTAATTTTAAGTTGCAACATCATCACTCACAATCCATGCTCTGTCAACTTAGATTTCATACTAATTTATTTCAATAGAGAACACAATATGAGTAGAAATGAAAAATAAATCAGCAAACCACTATTCTACTTCTATACTGGCAGTGGCAGATGCATTTTGAAATGAAAGTGCTACTACAAATCGAAGTAAACATAGGAACAAACAAGACCTAAAAAATCACAAATATGCTGGTTAATGGAAAGAGAACAATGGCTGAAGCAACCAACACCAATTTAAAAGTTAGAAAGGCTAACTTTAATAATAATAATAATAATGGTATCAACAAAATATCAAAAACAGCCATAATGAATTATTACTAGTAGCCATCAGCCATTTATTAGATATCTAACAGAGTTAAGGATTAAAATTTCGTTTCGGTATGTTGTTTCAATTAGCTTGGAAACAGAAATGTTTCTAAAACTTTTAGAAAACGTTTGAAACTGTCTGAAAACAAAAACTAAAACCTATACGTTCTCAATAATTAAATAAATGACAATTGTAGGTCTATGAATATTAGGAGCTCATGAACACAAGGCTCAAAGGCTTAGTTGGGAAAAGGATTTGCATTGTAAGCGAAAGCAAATTTAAAAACGAAAACATCCAGCAGTAGTAGGTACAAAAATAAAAAGAGAAAAATACTTTGCAATAACCCAAAAAACAAAAACAAAAAAAAGGAAAGAATAAGTGACTTAATCATGCTTGTTAATCTTCTCTTCTCTATCTTTCCTCTTCTACTTCCTAGTTTATCAGATTTTCAAATAAATTAAGGTTTCATCTATTCTTATATCTTTTTTCTTGATCAATGTTGCATATTCCTAATAAATTCATTGTTTTGTTGTGTTTCAATGCATTTCGGTCTGTTTTAGTGGAAACATTGAAATTTCGATATTTCACTAATATTTCGTTTCAGTTTTCCTAGAAAACAAAAACATTCTGGCTGTTTCGATGGAAACAAAACGAGAATTTGTTCCTTGCTAACAATAAGAGCCACATCGGTCCTTACCAAAGTTTTGAAAGGCATTACTAAGATGAGACTCGCCTCGCCTCAAGTCTAAGGTAAAATGCATCAAGGCTTTGTTTTTTAAGCTATACTCCACGAAGGCTTGCGCATCACAGTCTAAGGCATGCACCTTGTATGCTTTTTGCGCGTAAGCATACGAGGAGTACACATATGAAGAGAGGTTGCCTTAGGATCTTGTTAAATTTAGTCTAATTGATGGTTTTAAACAAAAAAAAGCAAAAAATAAAAAAAGAACCCTTCTTGCAATTACATTTTATAGGGGGGGGAAAAAAAAAATTAGGATAAATTACAAATACACCCCCCTGAGATTTGCTTAAAATACAAATTGTCCCCTGTGATTTTGAAAATTACATCTCACCCCTTTTAAGTTTTTAATTTCATAATAAATGGCCCCTATTATTGATAGATCATCGAGTCAATTAACAGTATTTAATGATATCAAAAATATATTTCAATTAATAATTCAAGTAATTTTATTACTGTATAGTATAGCAGTTAAGAATTTTATTTTTCCATTTATTCTGTTAAATAACAAATTCTGACAATGGGATATTTGTAATTTTTCAAACCATAGTGAGCAATCCGTATTTTAAGCAAACATCAGGGAATGTATTTGTAATCTGCCCAAAAAATTAAGTAGATGACCAATCAAGAAAAAATACAAAGTTGATGCTCAAGTGAGATCAATCACTAACTAAGAATGTTAATTTCACTTTCAATAAAGGCAAGTTTCATTCTTTGTAGTAAAATGTTCGACACCTTAAAAAGAAAGGTATTTACACCTTTATATTTATTTTTTATGTATTTTTCACTATTTTAAAATATTTAATTCATTTACTAAATATTAAAATTTAAAATTCAAAATGCTTATGCCTTGATGCCTCAAGGCTTGAGAGTACTGCGTCCCCACCACACCACTCAAGCTGCTAGGGAATTTAAAGAGTCAAACTCAGTAATTCCTCACAGGAAGAATAAATATTACCCATGTAGGGAAGATGGCTGTTAGCACATGACGTTTTGTAGGAAAGCCACCGACGTGCACGATGGTATACACCTTATACGAAAAGTATAACTTTTACCACAAAATGTACAAATTGTCACAGAAAATATTAACTTTTTCTTATCACAAAAAATATATCTTTTTGCTCACAAAAAGGAACACCTTTTCCACAAAAGCATAACTTTGGTTATACATAACTTTAGGGGTGCACACCATAACTTCACCATTCACTACTTTCACCACAAAAATCATAATTTCCCTTACGATATCGAAGCATTTCCATTGATGGTAATGAAAATTACAATGAGAGAACTTATGAACTTACTTTATCCAACAAACGAGTTGTTGTTTGGGGAGGAGGGCATTTGACATCAAATTTCATGCATGCATCTGCCAAATATCTGTTAGTTTCATCGCTTGAAAAATCCTTGGGTATGCTAAGATTTGCCATCTTCTCTAACTCTTCTATCATGTCAACCCTCCTGTAAAAGTTAAAAACCATATCAAGTTTTTCTAAATGTGATTTTCACAGAGATGTGAAGGTAGTAGTAACATACTGAGTCAATTTAACACAAGAATTGTCTACATCCAGAGATACCTGAAAGGGGGAGTGAAATCGATTTCAATTGGGTCATTCTCTAACCCATTTGCATGATATTTAATGGTATAGCCGCCAGTAAGTTCCTTGACCATCGCTGTTTTAATTTAACTTTGTTAACAAAAACCAAGAGAACTAAATACTTCTAAAAACAATTAATGCCTTGAGAAAAGCACCAGCATGTTTACAAGCCTTATTTATAACTTACCACTCAGCATTTTCTCTGTTAGCTCCATCAAGTCATTATAGTCTGCAAAAGCCATATAAAACTCACAAGTAGTGAACTCAGGATTATGTGTCAAGTCAATTCCCTCATTCCTGAATTGTTTTCCTATCTCATAGACGCGGTCCAGTCCACCAACAACTAGCTCCTTGAGATAAAGTTCAGGTGCAATGCGCATGAACAGCTTCATGTTCAGTTCATTGTGGTGGGTCACAAAAGGACGGGCAGCTGCTCCCCCAGCAATCATATTCATCATTGGAGTTTCAACCTTAAAAGTAAGGAAATCAAATGATGAACCAAAAGGGGAGAAAACGTAGCTGACACAAGGGAAAAAAAATAATGCCATCAAAACATAAGAACCAGGACAACTGAACAAACAACTTACCTCCAAGAAACCAAGATTGTCAAGAAAGCTTCTGATATATGAAATGATCTTCGATCGGGTCTTGAATATTTGTCGAACCTCGAAGTTCAACATTATATCCAAGTAACGTTGACGAAACCGAGTTTCCTAGCATGAGACACAATGAGTTCAGCACATACGTAGAGAAGGAAAAGGGGGGGGGGGTGATTGGGGGGGGTGGTAAATTAATATCTTAAAATACTGCTCAAATACTATTTGAAACCTGATCCTTTAAAATGTAAGTGTCAGGATTCCTGGCACTTCCTGGGACCCATATATCCTGTACGACAAAGAAAGTTCTCATGTCAGCAAAAGAACTCAATTGGATTATCACAAAACATAATTTGTTCACCTTCACATTGGCATTTTCTACAACAGGACCAGCTTTTTGCCTGGGCATCATATGGAGACAATGCGACAACAGCACGAATGAGCGTGGAAAAACACTCAGCTCCCCCCTTTTACTTTTTCCTAAAAGGAGGAAAAGGCATTAGGAAGAAGGAAAACACACACACACACACACAATAAGAAGATAATAAGCTCCATTAGAAACATATAAATCTAACGTTGATTGTATCTATCCACCACAGCATCTACTCAAGAACACTCCTACAAGCATTAATACATTGACACAATATAAGAATGACGGTATGGAAAAAGTCTAACACAGGAAAAAAAGAAAGAAAAAAAAAGTCTTCCAGTATCTACCAAATGCTTGCATATTTGAGGTTCATTTCTTTGGCCCCTGAGTTGCCACACCTTACAGAGTTCATGGAAGAAGAGATGTGTGACAACCCGTCATGTATTATGCTTTTAATCCTTTACTTTTGCACGTGCTTATGTGCTTAGTGTGAATTTGAATGCTAATTATGTGTTTATATGGTTTTTGGATTCATATATGTTGACCCTAGGAATATATGTTGTGATTTCTATTATAATCTAGAATTGAAGGCCTTAACGACGTCAAAAACCAAAATTGATTAGTCTATTGTGATTGGCATAATTTTTAGAACCTAATGAGAAGTTTGATTAAAATTTGATTCAGTTTAAATTAATTAGATTAAAGCAATTAAATTAAGCCTTGGATTAATTAACTTAATCTTTAATTACTTAGCCTAATCCTTGATTAGTTAATTAAGCTAATCTAGCCTATATATATAAAAAGTTAGAAGCTTAATCCATAATTGAACTCAAAATTCAGCAAGAAAAGAGTTTTAGAGAGAGGACTTCAATTTAGAGAGAGAGAAGACTTGATCTTAAAGACTTGGTTAGAGGTTGAAGAATTGTGTGAAGTCAGTCAAGAAATTGTTAGAATTTGTATCAGTCAAGAATTGTGTGAATTGAAGTCAGCAATATGTGTATTCATGAAAATTATGAATTTAAATGCAAGAATTGAGCTTAGAATGAAGAAATTGGAGTAAATTCATACATGCATGCATAAATTAGTTTCATATTTTTTTAGCATGGTTTATGTCATTTGAACTCCGCCGGGGTTGTTAACAACTCCGCCGGTCCCAAGCCCGGGTTAAGGAGGAGGGTTGTGTGTTAGGTAGTCGACAGCCAACACGTAAAAAAGCCGTTCGGATCCCTTATGAAAATGAATCCTACTTTGAATCGTCTAAATGCTAGGTCGTTACCCTCAAGTAACGCATTGCGCTTGCCTCCGGGTGTTTTGAAAAGTGAGCAAGGGGCGCCACATCGACGCCTGGGTGCGGTGAAAAATGGGCAAAGGTTTTCGCATTTTTCTGGACGAGTGCGGGTAAAGAAGCTAGTCCAAGACTATAGGTTTAGGATAGCCACTTGGAACATAGGAACCTTAACTGGTAGGACGATGGAATTAGTAGATGTTATGATTAGGAGGAGAGTTAGTATAGCGT